ACTGGACGACCGACTATGAATGCGCCCAAACGCTTATTTATAAGGCATCGGTGTGCAGCACATCTTCTCATCATAATCGCTGTCTCTAGACTGGTACCAAATCAGCTACTAGTGCAATCCCTTCAACGGAAACGTCGGAGCTTCCGAAACGAGGGCTAAAAGCGCTGCCAAAGGTGCGGCCACGCGGCGTCTGGCGCGGCGTCGCGTGCAGCGCCTGGTCCGAGTTTGCGGCCGAATGCCAGTCTTGAAGCGATTCGATGACGCCGTGTACGCGCGCTTTTGCGTTTCCATACGTTCTTGCCTTTCCTTATCAGGTATCAGATTGTTGGCTTTCATTGTATGTAGCTATCTATTAGAGGGGCGGTTGTCGATCGTTTCATGCTTATTGCTTTGATCTTCTTCATTGTTTGACGCTCACGATTTTCCTTTCGAACATTTTAGTTACTTTTGTTGCGTCCTGCTGTTCTCCGCATTCCTAATTTGACCCGTGGCCGGAAAAAGCGCACAATTCACATCATTCCCCCGTCCAGAAGTTTCAGTAGTACTGGCTTTGGATCAGTACTAGCGTTATTTCCCCTCGCTAAAGCTCTAGCCTATATTTTCTCCTGATGTTGAATTTGTGCAGGTTATTGGACGCATCCGCTCAAGCGCAGCTTCATTTGAGTCGCGATGATTGAAAAAAGAACAGAATATTAAGTTCTTCTGTCGCTTATCTGGCTTGTTACTTTGTGTGCCTTCTAGTGCCTTCTAACTTGAGCTGTACGCTGAACTCACGGAAGGCTTTATGCGATGTAACAGCAAGCTGTGTCTGAGCGCTGCAATAAAAAGTGCAGAACCGAACAGTCGGTGATGTCGTCAAAATTCTTGCAAAGTACAAGACGTGTTTTGGACCCCTAAAGAATGGAGGATATGGTAAGTGTGGGGGTGCTTGTGTTGCGACAGGTCAGACTCCCTTAGGTAATCTACACAAGGAAAGGAAGCTCCGGGGTGGGTTTAAAAGCGGAAACAAAATGGTTCACACACCCAGGAGATTCCCGGGTGTGGTTCAACATTACAGAAAGCGAATTTTCCGCTTTTCGCACGCGAAACTTTCCGCGGCAAGAGCGCTGCACGATATTCGGGTCCACTCCTCATCAGTGGTTCACCTGAAGATCCTGCAGCGAAAAAAGTTGCGCGTGCGAAAAGCGGAAAAGGATCTCATTTAGTAAGGGGACTATGGTTCATATTGCATGAAGAAATCCACTTTTTTTCAGGGGAGGGAAGCTCCGGGGTGGGTGTAAAAGTTTAAGCGAAATGGTTCACGCACCCCGGGGGTTCCCTCCCCTTGCAAAAATTGGAATTTCTGTAGCCGACAAGAACTGTCACACCACATGCCCCCTTGCTGGATGAGACGCGCCGAAAATTGGCTTTCTGTCCTTGTGAACCACATCCGGGATTCCCTGCCCTTGTAAAAATTAGAGATTCTGTAGGCGGCGGGAACTGTCGCATCACATGCCCCTCCCTTACTGGATGGGGCGTAGAATAAAAAAACCTTACTTAC